TTAAATATATCTATTATTATATTAACTAACCCACTCAAAGGTCAAGACAAATTGAAAAAAATGTGCCAGCCATTTTGCTGCTCAGTATGTAAATCACATTTATGATGTAAAGTTTCATTTCTATTTATATCAACACGCCATGTCTTTATAATAAATGATGTGTTGGTGCATTTCATAAAGGCTCCAATTTTAAAGCACATTATTTTGTTTTAATATAAACATTAATACAATCCATAACAGACATTAATGGAACGAGGTCCTCTTTATGCATATTAAGTAGGTGTACTTTTTACTGTCTAACTCAAAACTAAAATACGTCCCATCTCTACAAAATTTACATTCCGACTGAAGGTTCTCGATCTGGCGCCTTTTCTAACTTTCAATTTGACACTTAGCTTAACCAATGAAATTATTTTCTTCAACCAATCAAAATCACTTCCTGTGAGATGTCTTGCTACTTGTTTGACTATGTGATGGGTATTTCGACACCTGCAGTCTGTTATCCCGTACTTGACATTGTTTATTTTAAATTATACTTTGGTTTATTAAATTGATAATATTCAATAAATCACAGCCAATGCTGTACGATTGGGAACAACGTAACACAGACTACAAAAGCTTCACACTCCGATGTATCAACTCTGTAATACTGTATTAATTCTCTGCCTCATCCTAGAATTGCATTTGATTCTCTGTTCCGGACCGACTTCACCTAGGCTCGTACTTGTGAAGTTGCGAGGTGACGTGAAGCCGACTTGACTGTGACACCTTCGTTCTTATATAGGGTCTTTACATCTGAATTAGAAGGCTGAACTTCAAGCCACTCTTCTACACGGAAAACCGGACAATGAGTTTGCTTATTTGGAGAAAAATCTCAATCACGCGGCTGAACTTCGGGCCACACCTTAACACGAGTGCCGAGTTTACTACTAGGATGTAAATCTCAATTCAGAAGCTGGATTTAAGAACATAAACATAAACGAGTGACCTTTTGCTACACAGATCACAAACGTCGAGATTTCATAGTCCAGTAAGCCAGTAACTAATTATTTTGTAGATAAAAGTAAAAGGCTCAGATTTGTATACGTTAGCGTAAAAGACAATATTACCAGGGCTATCTTTAAGGGTAGAGCTAAACACCATACTTCTCTTTTTTTTTATTTAGACCTTAACACTCAATTTTATTTGGTAGGGAAACAGAGGGTGGGTAAAAATGTAATGAAATAGAAGAAACCTAAAGACCTTTAATTATATTATATTTTTAAAGCACTATCTTTAGCGGCCCCCCGAAAGGGGAATAAATGTAATTATTTTTTTGTGTTCTGTCTATCCGTCCGCCCCGTTTGGATCTTGTAAACTAGAAAAGATATTGAAAATTCGACATCATATTTTAGACCTTTCAAAATTCTGATGCAACGGCTACTTTTTTCTTTGCTGAAAGCTAAAAATTTAATTTTTAAATCAAATATGCAAGGATTTTTTTTTTGTAAAAATGCACCTTTTTTTTTTCTACAACTATTCACTATTAATAGTAACAAACACGGGAGGCCATTTAGTAAGGGAGGAGACTATATACCATATTTGTAACGCATTTATGAAAAAAAGTTTTTAAAAATGTATTGCTAAGTTAAGTAAATTCTGTCATACTAACTACTACATTTACACACAAAAAATGTTTACTTTATTTTTTAAAGAGAAAAAATCTATTTAATATGTATATAAGTGGAACATACTTTAAAAAACAATTATTAAGTAGTTTTTCATATTATTGCGTGAGCTGCAGGGTGGCACCATACCCTCTATACACATAGGACACTTATCTAAAGGATTTTTTTTTTACGGAAATATTTTTCTTCACGACATAGACGCTTTACAAAACAATTAGATTAGGAATGTCATTAAGGTGTATGGGCCGCATAAAAACTTACTACGACCTGAAGGGCCGCAGCCAAAAATCAGTTGGAAAACATAACCTACTAGTTTTATGTAAATTAGAAACAATACAATGGAATATAATAATTAATGGTATACCTGTCCCTTAGTTATTATTATTATTATTTTGCCTATTAGAAATTACAATGATTACGCATTATTTTCGTTGTCCTTATGCTTGACATTTTTTCTGGGATACAAGTTTATTAATGTCAGGTTGAAGTTTGATAGGCCACAGACACTTTTCTCACTGATGACATATTTTGATCAGATAAAATCGCTCGATGTGGTGTTATTTGTAGCTTTTAGAGAGAAAGTAGCCAACAGCAAGAATTCTTTCTGAGAATTTCCGAAATTCGACATACCGTTCAGATAAATAACTAAATTTTTGGCACAGCCATTGCTGTATACTTCGCTTTCAACTAAGAATCTGGATGCAATTCTATCAGTTCTAGTTGGACATTATCAACATTTGCACGAGCCAATGAAAATGTAGATAAAAACAACGACACTTCTTGCTCGCATGAAACAAAGTCACGAAAACGGTCATTGAAAGCATCCAACAACGATTCCAGGTGTAGGACATTTTTACCAAAAGTTGCAGCCGTATTTAATCTTTTTAGTATCACGTTGAGAAGTGAAGAAGGTTTTCTCTTGACATTTGGTTTATCCACAGTCGTAACTTTGCTTGAAAGCACTTCACATCATCACATGCAGTTGTGACAATTTTGTCTTTACCTTGAAGTTTCCAATTCAAGTCTTGCAGATAACCACTGAGATCAACTGCTAATGCCAAATCCTGAACCCATTCTTCAGTTTGGAAATGTTCAACAGGTTCACCTTTCATGTTCAGAAGCAATACAATTTCTTCACGCGGTGCAAAAAATTTCTTCAATACATTATGACAAGAAAAGCCAGCGGATTTCTGTGTAGTAAAGAACACAATCAAATTCGTGTCCAACGTCATCCAGAAACATTGAAAATTGGCGATGATGTAAGCCACGGTCACAAATAAAAGTGATAGCGACTGAAACTGGTCTTAACACATGTTGGAACTGTCATTGCTTTGCACATATTGCTTCTTGGTAAATGATGCACTGAAAATAAGCAAATTTAAAATTGCCATCAGTCTCTCTTATTTTTGCAAGCAGCTTTGCACTAACACCATTTCTAACCCCAATCATTTGGTGTGCCATCCGTTGCTAAACTAGCTAGCTTTACCAAAGGTAAGTTGTACTGTAATATCACCTCCTGTAATTTCTCAAAAACATCTTCGCTTGTTGTGGTGTTATGCATAGAAAAGTGCTCAACTAGTTCCTCGTATCTCCAAATTCCTGTCAGAGGCCCTTTATGAATATAGCCAACTGTGCTACACCCGCTACATCAGTTGACTCACCGAGAGCCAAAGAAAAGAATTCAAAATCAGCTATTTTGTTCTTTAATTGTTTACGCAAGCTGACTGACATTGATTTTATCTCCCTGTATGTTCCTAGTTAATGTTATTTCTTTGAATGCTTTCACCTTTTCTGGACAAATTACTTCGGCAGCTTTTAACGACACACTCCTTAATAAAAATAAAAATAACTTTCACTAAATGATTTGTGACAAATGTAAGTCTAACTCTAACATATTGGCTTATTTATAATGTGATTATTAACAAATAATAATAATTAAAAAGTTAAAAAATCAACACTAAACTTAAAAGATAACTTGAAAGATAATTCGAATTTAATAAATAAACGAAATTTTCGAGAAATCATTTGCTTTAAAAAAAATGTCATTAAAGAATAAGTTAATAAGTGCAACGAAGTTGATTGTTACGTTTTTTAGCGTAAGTAAATATTTTACCTGAATTAGATAATCATTATATGACATCAGTTAGGCCAGTGATAAATCATTATATGAGATCAGTTAGGCCAGGTTCACATCGAGCTTCCCATACACTTTCACATATCCCTAGGTCTGCTGGACTGTTGGGGCACCACACAAGATCTGTCAACCTTCTTTCTTCATTCTTCTCTGTCATTTGCCTTTGATAGAATTTCATTCTGATTTTCTTTCTGAAAATATTGAAACCCGCCTTTTTACCTGCCTGGGTGGACCACTTCGGGGGCCAATTTTGAGTTTGTGTTTCCACACAGTCTTTTTAACCTTGCTTTCTTTGCATTTACAAATTTACATTATAAATGTTCATTACAGCTAGTTGACAGTGCACATATTTATTCTTAACACTTTTTTCTAGTTTCTGTATTTTTACTCTTATTTACATTTTTTCTTTAAAGACACACTCAATGAGCTAGATTTTATTATTTTCATAAAAATAATTAAATTTTATAGTTAGATGACAATGCAACGCTATTGTTAGTATTGCTGTTGAATGTTCACATTTTACTCGTTGTTGTTTTTAAAGATATTGTGAGAAACATTTGATGAACATTGTTCTCAATTTCTTTACTCATTGAATCTGCTAGATTTCTTCAGTGGTGTGAAGAAGTTAAGGTTAACTTTTGTACGTTGTTTAGCTTAATGGACCTGCTGAAATGTTAATGTTCATGCCTAGTGCCCATGTGTTTTTTCTTCTAACAGTTACTTGAACTCAGTAAAAGTGCCAGTCAGAAGGAAATCAACAAACAGTGTCGCCTATTAAGTCGACAGTATCACCCTGACCGACAAAAGGACCAGGAAGAAAAAGTCAAGGCTCAGGAAAAATTTATTGAAATTCAAAAAGCATGTAATACCTTATCCACTGAAAGATCAAGGCGTGCTAAATCTAGCAGTAGATCTGAGGATAAAAATACAAGAATGAAATCTGATCCATTTAGGAAAAGAACAGATCTATAACTTATATATATATATATATATATATATATATATATATATATATATATATATATATATATATATATATATATATATATATATATATAAATTTAGTTCCAATATGTTAGCAAGTTTTCATTCCAGTTTCCTTAATTTTACTTTCATTTAGATTTTTTTTTGTAAAGTATCTCTCAATGAATTACATTTTATTATTTTCATAAAAAGAATTAAATTTTATAGTGAGATGACTATAGAATGATATTGTTAGTTAACTGCAGATGACTATAGAATGATATTGTTAGTTTAATGTAGTTGACTATAGAATGATATTGTTAGTTTACTGCAGAATGTTCACATCTTATGTATTTTTTTGGAGAGTGAAAACCATTATTCTCAATTTCTTTACTAGTTCAATCTGATAAATTCTAAATTGCTTTAAGGGAAGAAGTTACGGTTAAGGCTAACCTTTTTTTGATGTTTACTGCACCAGTGCTTCACTATGAAGTATCATAATAGAACTGGTGAATAAGGTGTCTAAATTTAATGTTTTTCATTAACTCTTTTTTCCTAATACCAAAATACTAAGTAATTTACATGTTTTTCTAGATCTTTATAAAATATATTAAAATTATTTAAATGAATAAAAATAATTAGCGTAAGTGAAGTAAAATACATTTTTTGAACGCTTTTTTTTTTTATATTAGCGGCACCAGTAAAGGGAAAAGCTGTTTTTAGTTTTGTGTAGTCTGTATGTCCATCTGTCACACTCAGATTTCAAAAACTAAAAGAGATATTAAGAATCAGATTACGCCTTACGTTGTGTCTTGCAAAGTTTATGTGCAACAACTACTGTATGTTCTCTTAATGCAAACCTTTTGTTTTTAAAATTAATTATGCAAGGTATTTTTTATTTAAAACTTCTGAAACAATACATAAATTTAAGGGAGATTATGATAACATAGATACAATTTTCTGTTTTGTATTTTCTGTAAAACTTATTCATATATATTTCTAATATGTAAAAAAAAATATTGCTCCAAAAAATATAAACATTAACTGAGTTTTTCCTAGTACACTTATTGTTGATTAAATGTTACGTCCCCTACATTAATTCGTCTAGCATTGTGTATTATCCTTTTTTTAGATTTATTGTATAAAGAGTTATTCGGGACACATTATGGAAGGCAAGATGGCTGAATAAAGAATCTAGTTTACTTTTTGAAAGTTTTTGTTGTTTCAATTCAAGAGTTTCTTTGAGCATGATGGCAGCTATATCTTAAAACTTTAATATTGTCTAAAATCTATTTGAATTAGAATATTTAGACTCAAGGTTAGATTTTACATCTAAAATATATTTTAAATTATCATACGTCTGGATTGAAATTCTGTTTTGTTTTGTTTTACATGTTTTCGGATGTTCCTTCAGAGTTGAAGATAATTACTTCCTAGTCCAAACCTTCCGCAAGACGACGGGGGGATGAGAGCGGACAGGGTTTGAACCCTGGACCATCGATAAATCTGATCGACAGTCCAGCGCGCAAACCACACGACCAGGCATCCATCCTAATTCTAGATCTATTTCTGTAATTTGTAATGTAGATCTACATTCTAGATCTATAATGACTACATTAGATATGTAAAAGTTTTTTTAAAACTATTAGCCTAATAAAGGCAGTCAAACTGAAAACTCATCATTTAGATTTCAAGCATTTATGGGACATAATTATGATACTTATATTACATTTTTTTCCTTTTTTTTTCTTTCTAATTCATTCTAAATATTTAGAGAGAGAGAGATTTTATAAATAACTAGACATATAGGCCTATTACCCGCGGGGGTTTTGTTTGCGTATAACTGTCGATGAGTCACTGAGAGTGGTTTGTAAACAATTAAACGAAATAATAAAGCAAATGCGTAAAAATAGTATGAGTGAATGGTGCTATCAAAATAGCTAATCGACTTAAATCCATTTTTCAAATAAAAAACATTTGCTTGTAGGCCTACATATATTTGATTAAAATGAAATGAATAGACTTAATGTTGTATGTTCATGTGTTAAAGAATAAAGTAGATCTTGAGTTAGACATAGATCTAGATCTAGAGTTAAATATTGGCTTGGATAGAGTTCATTTTGCACGTGCGCATGCGTGACCTTTTTAATTAGAAGTACGCGAATGAATGAAACTATTAGAATATATCTTAACACAGCTTTAAAGCGAACGATTGCATGAAAAATGCTTTAGAAAAAAACAAATTTGAATGTTAATTTGATTAAAATATGAAATGAATGGACTATAATTAGTATGTTCATGTGTTAAAGTATAAAACTATCTTTGCGAAGAGAAGTTCTATCATCTTAGAGTTTAGTTAGAGTTTTAGACTTAGGAATAGAACGATGTGTAACATTACGGTATTGTCTAATGAAAGAATGCTCATAAGGAATTCTACATTCGCAGATATAAGGAACGAATTAATGTAAAAATGCTTTTGACACACAAATTTGAAGGTTAATTTTTTTTAAATAATGAAATCAATGGACTATATTTTGTATTTTCATGTGTCAAAGTAAAAAACCATCTGCGCAATGCGTAGTTCTTAAAATTAGATCTAGATCTAGATCCTTTCGATCTTTTCTCATGAAAACATGGCCTAGATCGTTGAAGTTATAATGTTTTCATAGAGCTGGTCAACTTTTTTCTTTTGAGGGTCTTAAGTTTGTTTTAGGGCTACAATACATAAACTACGGTCTAAGTTAGTACCCAAGGAACATTTCTGCCAAGTTTTATCAAGATCGGTCAAACGGTTTTAATTTTTATACGGGGACATACATACATAAATACATACATACGCCTTACTTTCTACTTTATATATTAGATAAGCGGAATAACAATTTTTTAAAAGTAATATTTGAAGTTTAAATTTTTGCGCACAACGTGGTTAATAAGCTTAAAAACATATGCCTTAAAGTTTCTCTTTAAGGCCCTGTAAAAATCTCATTTTCAACATGTGTTTTCCTCACTCTGGGTCTTGATAGTAGACATGTCTTGCTACTCGTATAACGATAATTTTTTTTGTTGACAGCGGAATATCCTACTATTTTTCTAACCAAAAAAAAAATAAATAAAAGTGCTTATAAATTAATTGCATTCCTTCTAAACAAGATAATTATGTCCCACGTGTATCCATGTAGGCCTCTAAGTTTAGTGTATGATTATGTGTATGTTTACTTTTCTAGTTTAAAAATGGTAGATTAGCCCTTTAAACGGTGACTTAAAATTACAAAGGCATAAGATCTAGAGCAAGTTTCTTCCCATTAAGCGTAGCCTACATTTAAGTATATATAATTGACTATAAGCAGAATGTATGTAATTGTGTAGGCCCCTATGTCTTGGATAGAAATTAAAATCAGATGACCAATTCTTATGAAACTTAGCATAAACACTCCTTGGATACTGGCGGTAAACCTAAAATATGTTAAGTAACCCTACCATAAAGTGAAGGTACTAAAAATAATATAAAAATTAACTACCTCTCTACCTAAAAATATCGGGTCCAGACCGAATGGTCCGCTAGACATCGATAGCTCCATTCATAATATCGCCTGCAGCTTACATGAGAAGTAGGGAGATACAAATCAAATAAGCCTGAAAGGCCAAAAACAAACAAAATATTAAAAGCGTATTATTGAACATGTTAGTCATTAATACACTACCTTATATAATACAACAATTATGACACCTTTCCCTAGATTAATAAATAGCACATCGTTTGCAACTATTTGATGGGCCAAGGCTAGATCTATTCACTCCAATCTTAAAAAAAGAAAAATTTTTAGTTTTAGAAGTGAACATAAAAAATATAGTCTCTCCATTTGATTATTTAACCAAATTTACCTTCAAATGGACGTTTTAAAAACATTTTTCGAACTACACATCACTGTAGTTGTCTTTATTTACACTATGTTTGGAAAAAAAAACAGCTTTTTAATACTATTAGAAGCCCACTTAGGTAAATTTTTTAAAATTATTTTATTAGAACTATTAAGGTAGCCTATATTTCAAGTAGATCTACGTATATAATCTATTATGTTCATTAATTATATTTAAAAGTACATAAGCACACATTCCACATTGCCACGTATTTTCTAGATCTAGTACGGTAAAAAACAACATATGTATAACAAATAAAACCAAAAAAAATATAAAAATTCTGTACCAATCTTGAAGAAACGTGCCATTAATATTAACAAACAAACAAAAAAAAACAAAACATAATTGCCCCCCCCCCCCCCCCCCCCAAAAGGTAGTTGTAAATAATAATGTATAAAATCTGGCAATCTGGGTATATTTAAAACTTGAATATAAATTTAGGCCATAGACTTATATGTCCTAGATATATATGTATATATAGACTGGACATGGAGATTTTTTAACACTACAAAAAAATGTGAAAATGTTTTAGAAAGTTGGATCAAGGCGTTGTTTTGTAAGTAGTTAAAAGAAGTAAAGTTGTTGTTTTTTCAACCCTAACCAATGTAACTTATAATTTAATTTTCAGATCTAGATCTATTAATTGAATATCAAAAATAAGAGTACTCTCGTCTCATAATTATTATTTTGTAATTTTTAGATCTAGAAAGATCTGGGTAATCTATTTGTACATAAGATGATTTAAATCAACATGAATTATTTCCATCTAGGATTTTTTAAACATTATCTCATGGAAAAAAAAACAGGAAATGGCTTTGTTTCATATATTTGCGTGAATATCCGAGAAATGATTTTGCATTATTTCTAAACTTTGAAAACTAAAGATCATTACTTTTCTAAGACAGAATAGATTGATTGGGGCGACACCCCTTAGAGCCTGAAAAAGGAGTTTACGTACATATATATATATCAGGGGGGGGGGGGCTCAACCCCCCCCCCCCTCCTGCAAGGGGGGATCGGAATTCAGTAATTGATTTTTTGCTTTGATTTTGTTTATTTTGGGTGACATTTTAATACTATACCATCACTTGCCCCAGCGCAGCTAAGGGGTTTAGATTTTATAACCCCTATCAGGGGGTTTTGAGTTTATAACCCCTACCTGGGGGTTTTGAGTTTAAAATTCTCTTCCAAGGGGTTTGATTTCAAAACCACTATCAGAGGTTTTGAATTTAAAACCCCCTACCAGTTTTTTTTTTTTTTTTTGCAGTTAAATCCCTCGCTTCTAAAAACAAAACAAAGCAAACGACTATCCCAAAATTCCAAGAGCACAGGAAGATTTTGATTTTATAACCCCCTATTCAATATAAAAAAAAGCAAATTTCACATTCAAAATTCTATGAGGGTTTCAAGTTTACCCCCCCCCCCCTTTCAGTAGGGTTTGAAGCTAAAAAAATACCTCTTCAATATAAAAAAAAAGCAAATTACGCACTCAAAATGTTATGAGCGTAGGCTAATGGGTTTCGACTCAGTTTTGAGTTTAAACCCTCATTCAGCGGGGTTTGGGGGTAAAAAATGCCTCTTTAATATTAAAAACAAAGCAAATTATACACTCAAAATTCTATGAGTGTAGTCAAAGGGGTTTTGAGTTTAAACTCTATCCAGTGGAGTTTGAAGCTAAAAAAATAACTCTTCAATGTAAAAAAAAAAAGCAAATTACGCACTCAAAATGCTATGAGAGTTGCCAAAAGGGGTTTTAAGTTTAAACCCCCTTTCATCGGGGTTTGATGCTAAAAAAATACCTCTTTAATATAAAATAGCAAATTACACACTAAAATTATTTGAGCGTAGCCAAGCCATTTGGGGTTTTGAGTATAAACCTCTATCCTACAGATGGCTTTTCTTAAAAGTTTAAAACCCCTCCAGATGGTTTTTGAGTTTAAAATCCCTCTACTACTGAGAGTTTTGAGGTGGAAAACCTCTATCTTTAATATTGTTGTAAAGCAAATTACAATTACCAAATTCTTAGACAGTAGCTAAATTGAGTTTTGAATTAAGAAAAAAACAACTCCAGAGATTTTTTAGTTTAAAATCCACAACTGATGATTATGACGATAAAACTTCCCTTTTCGATATAAAATCTAAAGTAAACTACAGTCACCTAATTCCAAGAGCGTATTCAAGAGAGGTTACACATTTCTACCAGTGGCGGGGCTCCATTAATAAAGTGCATTGAATAGTCATCTGCCGAAATTGAAAAACACTAAATGTGGCTCAACAAAGATGGCTAAGACAGATTGTATGAGTCAGTTATAAATATCGGGTCTAAATCAAGGAAATCC